TCTATATTTCTGAGATGAGGTATTATGTACAGTATTTACATTAGTCGGACTATTGTCCTCATCTTTGTCGCCATATTTGTCACAACGTTGTACGCTCCGGCCTTCTTCAGGTGGTTGGAATTTCGAACTGAACCCTTTATTTTCGATCACTGGGGTAGACTAGTTCCACGTTTGATGGATGTCAGTTATCAGTTATCTCCTGCCAATTTTCCCTCTGAAAGCTCTCCACTGCCTTAACCAGGTATTGAACTCACCTTCTTTGGGTCTGTCACTGGATCTAACCAACGCCTTTATCCACTGTGCCATGTGTCCTTGGGGACATTTGGGTATGAACTTCTGAGTATTATAAACCTAATGTTTTCAGCATCATTTTTACCAGTGCTCATATTGCAATTTTTTGCTGTTATCATTGCATGTCCACAGAGAGAGACCCCAGGCTCATATCTCCCAGACGCTCGAGGATTTCTTCAACAGAATTACCAATGAAGAAGACCAAAATGACTTGGATAAATCCTTCAGACATGAATTTGATGTAGTCAAGGCTCGCCAAGTGCAAAAATTAAATAGATTGTATGATCAGAAGGTGACGCACAAGGTCCATCACCCACCAGTGAAAGCAGTAGTCAATATCAGCCAATATCAGCTGAGTGCCTCTGAGGAGTCAGTGTTGAATAAGGGTCTCAACTTCGCCACAACCATCAGGCGGGTGCCATACTTGGACATCATTGCCAGTGTAGAGGAGGTGGCCTTGAACATCCCCCAGGCTCAGGCAGATGAAATGAGATGGAAAGTGAGACAGGCCTTGGAGAGGTCTAACCTAACAGGTCTAACATAACAAAACTGGAGAGACTGGCGATTGAATCACTACAGAGGAACGAAAACATCATCATACTACCGGCTGACAAAGGTAATGCGACTGTAAGGGGAGGATGATATCTTGCAAACGACAATACATACACAATCAGATTATAATACATAAACATGTAGACGTATTTAGATATATACACACACAAATACACCAATCTTATACTTGGGTGTATATATATATATATATATATATATATATATATATATATATATATATATATATATTATTCCAGGATCATTTTCCAACTTACTCAAGATGACCTTCGCCATCTCTAACCTTCTAACTTTCTGTTTTGGAGTAACAAGTTGCCTCACAGGTTTCACGTACGATTTCATTTTCAATCTTTTTTCACTGCTCCTTGCACTGTCAAAGTTGGAACTCCTCTCTCACCTGCCAAACGTCTCATGGACTGAGTTGGATCTTTTCTAATCGACCACTTTAGCTCTAAGTTGAAATGATGATCCCTCTTCCTGCTCTGATCTCTTTATTCAGTTTTCCTCTCTACTGTTGCCTCTTTTTCAAACTTATTCACCGTTCTCTTGATGGTTCTTGAATAGATTTTGAAGATTTAAGCGAGAGTATGAATGTTGGTGACATTACTGAAGGCCTGAATGATATTTTTCCTTTAACCACTGCACAGTTTGAAAGACAATGGGGCTGACACAAAACGATTTTAGCCTGTTCTCTTTCTAGCTGAATAATCCAAAAGGTTTTTCAGTGATTCTTACGATAAATGGTGTCAAGATGGCTAAACGTCTTATCTGAAAACCTGGAAAAAAGAAACCCAGTTTAATGTTTTTTTTTAGATATTAAATGGGAAGGACAGTTATGCTGTTACAAGTTTTGGATAATTTTGCTGTATATAAATATATATATGTATATATATATATATATATATATATATATATATATATATATATATATATATATAAATGACTATTACGGCATATAATGCATGACTCTTCGGTAAATCGAATCGAGTTCTCTCAGTCACTGTGTGTTTATCTAAAAATAAATACGCTTAAATTCACCTTTACCCCTGCCGTGCTAGGGGTAAAATCTCCGACTGACGCCAATTCAGTCGAGTTTCGATCCTAGCTAGAAGCAACCGGACGTATAGCCACAGTGATGAGCGAAACAGTCTGTCTGCGGATGACTATATATATATATATATATATGAATACCATTTATGAAAATATAGGAAGTAGGTCAAAGGATAGAACCCTGGCGACCTGAAAGATTTCAATGTATTATTTACATTTTTTTACAAGAAATATAAAAAGACATGACCACGAACATGATATTTTTTACCTTCTGTCATGACTGACAATGTATATAGCAGCTACTTCCTGAAATAAGTAATTATTGAATAAGTAGACTGTCCATGGATTGGTTCATTCACTTTACCTAATGGATAGTCAATTGTAATATGTGTCTCACCCTGGATCATGCCAGAAAAGAATTTGCCCTCACAGTTCACACAAGACGGACAACATGCGGAGAGCCAGGAGCAGGGTTTACCTGAATTTATTCCCGGCCGCCGAATGCAGAATTGCAAACGTGCGAACAAACACGCTGCATGAGATAATTGTATAAAAATAATAAAAAAAATATAATAAAAACGCCCACAGA